GCTCCGGCACCATGGAGGACGTGAATGAGTATAGCAACATAGAAGAATTTGCAGAGAGATCGAAAATCAACGCGAGCAAGAATCAGCAGAATAACGGTTAAATGTTTATTGGAGGCTTGAGCTGGGATACAAGCAAGAAAGTTCTCACTGAATATTTGTCTCAATTTGGGAAAGTTGTACACTGCACAGTTAAAACAGATCCAGTCACTGGAAGATCAAGAGGATTTGGATTTGTGCTTTTCAAAGATGCTGCTAGTGTTGATAAGGTTTTGGAAGTGAAGGAACACAAGCTGGATGGCAAATTGATAGACCCTAAAAGGGCCAAAGCTTTAAAAGGGAAGGAACCTCCCAAAAGGTTTTCATTGGTGGTTTTAGTCCAGATACTTCTGAAGAACAAATTAAACAATATTTTGGATCCTTTGGTGAGATTGAAAATATAGAACTTCCCATGGATACAAAAACAAATGAAAGAAGAGGTTTTTGTTTTGTAACATACACAGACAAGGAGCCTGTAAAGAAATTGTTAGAAAGCAGATACCGTCAAATTGGTTCTGGGAAGTGTGAACTCAAAGTTGCCGAACCCCAAGAGGTATATAGGCAACAACAGCAACAACAAAAAGGAGGAAGAGGTGCTGCAACTGGTGGACAAGGTGGTGCTACAGGTCGTGGCCGAGGTCAGGGCCAAAACTGGAACCAATGATTTAATAACTATTATGATCAAGGATATGGAAATTACAATAGTGCTTATGGTGGTGATCAAAACTATAGTGGTTATGGCAGCTATGATTGTACTGGGTATAACTATGGGAACTATGGATAAGGACAGGGATATGCAGACTACAGTGGCCAACAGAGCACTTATGGCAAGGCAACTGGAGGGGGTGGCAATTACCAAAACAATTATCAGCCATATTAAGGGGAGGGCATTGGATAAAACAGGAGGAGATTGCTAAAGTAACCCATCTTGCAAGACAACATTGAAGATTGGTCTTCTGTTGCTCTAAGATGATTATTTTGTGAAAGACTATCTAGTGTACAAGACACAAGTGTCCAATTGTATATAGCTGCCAATTAGTTTTCTTTATTTTTATTTTGTCTTTTGCTATCTGTGTTATGATTCAATGTGGATTTGTGTTTATACAAATTTTATTTCTATGATTTCATGTTAAACATCAAATAAATGCTTCCTTATGTGATTATTTAAAAAAAAAGACATCATCTCGATAAATGCAGAAAAAGCATTCGACAAGTACGGCACCCATTTATGGTGAAAACACTCAGCACAATGGGAATAAAGGGGACATTTCTCAACATAATAAAGGCCATATATGAATAACCTAAAGCCCACATCATACTCAATGGGCAAAAACTAAAAGCTTTCCCACTAAGATCAGGAACAAGACAAGGATGTCCGCTTTCACCACTTCTATTCAACATGGTATTCGAAGTCCTGGCAACAGCAATCAGACAAGAAAAAGAAATGAAAGCATCCAAATTAGAAAGGAGGAAGTAAAACTATCATTGTTTATAGATGACATGATAGTGTACATAGAAAACCCTGTAGACTCTACCAAAAAACTACTCAACCTAATAAGTGAATTGGGCAAAACAGTGGGATACAAAGTCATTATTGAGAAATCAAAGGCATTTTTGTACACCAGCAATGAAATATAAGAAACAGAAATCAGGGGAAAATATCTCATTTCCTATAGCAACAAGAAAAATAAACTACTTAAGAATAAATTTAACCAAGGAGGTAAAAGACCTGTATGCAGAAAACTATACAGCACTGAAGAAAAAAATTAAGGGAAACACAAATAAATGGAAGCATATACTGTGTTCATAGATTAGAAGAATTAATATCATCAAAATGTCCATACTACCCAAACCAATTTATAGATTTATTGAAATCCTTATTAAAATACCAATGACATATTTCACAGACATAGAACAGACATTTCAAAACTTTATGTGGAACCATAAATGACCCCGAATAGCCAGAGCAATTTTGAGAAAGAAAAACAAAGTAGGAGGGATCACAATACTGGTCATCAAACTCTACTACAAAGCCACTATACTCAAAACAATCTGGTACTGGCACAGGAACAGATCCATAGACCAGTGGAACAGAATAAAAATCCCAGAATGAAACCCATGTTTCTATGGCCAATTAATATTTGACAAAGGGGGCAGAACCATAAATTGGAGGAAAAAATAGCCTCTTCAACAAATGGTGTTGGGAGAGCTGGACAACTATATGCAAAAAATGAAAATTTTGTCCCCACCTGACGCCATACACAAAAATAAACTCAAGATGGATAAAAGTCTTAAATATAAGTCGTGACAGCATAAAAGTCCTAGAGGAGAGCATAGGCAGGAAACTCTCAGATATCCCACACAGCAATATTTTCACCGATATGTCTCCTAACCCAACGGACATAAATGAAAGAATAAACAAGTAAGACCTCATCAAAATAAGAAGCTTTTGTATCGCTAAAGAAAACATCAGAAAAATGAAAAGGGAGCCAACCATATGGGGAAATATATTTGCCAATGATACATCAGGTAGAGGTTTGATCTCCAAAATATATAAACAACTCAGATGACTCCACTCCAAGAGGACAAATGATCCAATTAAAAAATGGGCAAAGGACCTGGGCAGACACTTCTCCAAGGAAGACTTACAGAGGGACCAGAGACATTTGAAAGGATGCTCAGCATCACTATCCATCAGAGAAATGCAGATTAAAACCACAAGGAGGTACCCCATCACACCGGTCAGAATGGCCATCATAAGCAGATCAACAAACAACAGGTGCTGGCGAAGCTGTGGAGAAAAGAGAACCCTAGTACACTGTTCGTGGGAATGCAGACTGGTGCAACCACTGTGGAAAACAGTGTTGAATTTTCTCAAAAAGATAAAAATGGAACTGCATTTTGACCCAGTGTTTCCCTTGCTGGGATTATACCCTAGAATCCCAGAGCACCAATTCAAAAGAACCTATGCACCCCAATGTTCATAGCAGCACAATTACAATAGCCAAGTGTTGGAAGCAACCTAAATGCCCATCAGTAGATGATTGGATCAAAAACTTATGATATATTTACACAATGAAATACTACACAGCAGATAGAAAAAAAAAAAAAGAACTGCTACTCTTTGTGACAGCATGGATGGAATTAGAGAGCATTATGCCAAGCAAAGTAAGCCAGGGGGTAAAGGACAAATACCACATTATCTGACCTATAAGTGGAACTTAACCAACAAAACAAATAAGCAAGGTAAATATTACCAGCAACTTTGAAAGAAAAAGAAACCAACAGAATAAAGAGAGAAGGAGGTGGGAGCAGGGGAAGGAAGGGTCAAGTCAAGGAATATGTGTAAAGGAGCCATGGGCAAAGCCAAAGTGGGGAAGGATTAAGGGAGGGAGGTGGGGGAGGATCCACGGGAAAGTGGTGGCTGGAAGGTGGAGAGAAATGTATTTGAACAAAAATTTGTTTTTAATTAAAAATAAATAAATAAATAGGTAGATAAATAAATAAATAAAAGCAAGCACAATGAGATACCACTTCATTCCATTCAGAATAGCTATCATAAACAGAACAACAAACAACAGGTGCTGGTGAGGCTGTTGGAGAAACGGGAACCCTAGTACACTGCTGGTGGGAATGCAGACTAGTTCAGCCACTGTGGAAAACAGTTTGCAATTTCCTCAAAATGCTATAAATGGAACTGCCTTTTGACCCAGTGATTCCACTGTTGGAATTAAACCCTACGAATCCCAAAACACCAATTGAAAAGAACCTATGCACCCCAATGTTCACAGCAGCACAATTTACAATAACTAAGTATTGCAAGCAACCTAAATGCCCATCAGGAGATGAGTGGATCAAAAAACTGTTGTACATTTACACAATGGAATACTACACAGCAGAAAGAAAAAGCTAGTACCCTTTGCAACAGCATGGATGGAACTGGAGAGCACTATGCTAAGTGAAATAAGCCATAGTTCGAAAAACAAATACCACGTGATCTCACCTATAAGTGGAACCTAACCAACAAAACAAACAAGCAAGGAAAATATAACTACAAACATGGAAAGAAAAATGAAACCAAAAGAAACGAGAGGGACGGAAGATGGGGGTGGAGAAAGGGAAAGAAAGGGTCAAGTCAAGGAATATGTATAAAGGTGCCATGAACGAAGCCACAGTGGTGAAGGACTGAGGGAGGGAGGTGGGTGAGTTGGGCAGGGAAAGTGTTGGTGGGAAGGTGGAGACAAATGTATTTGAACAAAAAATAAAAATAAAAAAAAGATTAATGTTTTACCTCTGCTAATTCAGTACTTTAAGCTCTTTAATATTGATATTGGGCCAGCAACTTCTTGCTATTAGTCTTTTGCTTATTACACAATAAAATATTCTTTCTCAAATTATTATATAACAGTTGATAGTGGATACTAAGAGTTTGTTCTTCTATGCTTCTTGATTTCTGTACTTTCTTATTTACCATGGCTTTTACTCCTCTTTTATTAGTTCTTCAATAAATGCCACCAGCAAAATAAATATTTGGAATTTTCTTTTTAAAAAAATCACCCTACTTAGAAATATTTTTTGAGGGTTGGAGGTACAGGAGAATATGACCCAAAGTCCAGGAGATAGTAGCACTTGGAATCAAGAAAATCACCTGGGGTTAAATTGTCACCCACCTCTGCTATCAGTCCTTGCTGTAGTCATGACATTCCAGAATGATTAACAGTTACTTTCCCAAGAAAGTATCCGTGCTCCATGGACTTTGCAATTATTGTGACTTCTGAAGTTCTTAGGTTCTTGAAGTTCAGTGATGACAAAATGGAATCCAACCAAAATACAATGCCGGGGAGTCAAGTCTTGAGAAGCATATTATTGTCCTTAAGTGGCTACCCAAACCTGACCAGACCAAGTAAGATGTTGAAGATATGAATGAGAGACAAAATGCAGTTTAAGGTCCCTATTCCTTTAAGTCAGAAATTTCCCTTGTTGAAGTAGAATTGAACCTTCCTAGCATCTAGACTGGGGTATTGGTGACAACGTTTGTACGGGCTCTTTGCCAAAGCCTGAGGGCTGCATAAGAAGACTCCCACCACAGACATGCAGGAATAGAATAGTAGGGTAGAATGTAGCAAAGGCTGTGATGTTGCTAGCAAGAATAGAGAAATGATGAGGTCTCTACTACTGACAACCCTGCATAAAAATTCAGTTGTTGACACCCTACTCATATTCTTCATAGTTGTAGTTTCTCACCTTTTTTTCTGGCAAGCCCCAAATGTGCTCTCAGCCCTTATCACATTCAGCACTCAGTAGTCAGAACTCAGCCCTGTCTATTCTATTGAGAACACATGCTCAGATGTTGTGTCCTGTAGTGTTTAAGTGCTAGCTAGACTCTAGTAAGCCATGCTGCCTGGATTGAAAGTCCACTTCTGATGCTTGTGTGACTTTAGGCAAGTTACTTAACCTCTCTGTGTTTCAGTCCATCCTCCACCCCCACCTCATAAGATGGGGATAAAAACAGTACTCACCCATAGGGTTGTTTGGAGGTTTAAATGAAAAAAATATATAAAGCAATTAGAAAAATGCCTGGCACATAACAAGTACATATGTGTTAACTGCCATTAAAGCTACCCATTGTGCAATTATCCCCGCTCCAAATCTTCTCACACCAAAGAAGTAGTGGACGATAATCTTTCTAACTATTCTCTGGGTCTAACTTTCTCCTTCCTTCTCTCATACCTTCCTCACATCTCTTTTCTACCTAATTGAGGTAAACCACATGCAATAGCATTCACCCTTTTAAAGTTTGCAATTAGTGCTTTTGGTATAGCCACAAAGTTTTGCAAACATGATCACTATTTAATCCAAGAATGTTTACATCATCATAAAAAGAAACTCCATACACATTAACAGTCACCCCCCATTTCCTCCCAACTGCCCACCCTCAGCCCTAGACAATCAAATCTACTTTCTGTGTAGATTTACCTATTCTGAACATTTCATATAAATTGAATCCTACAATATATGGCCTTTTGTGCCTGGTTTCTTGCACTTAACATACTGTTTTCAAGGTTCATCTGTGTTGTACCATACATCAGTACTTACTCCTTTTTACAGCCAAATAATATCTCATTCTGTTCATATACCACATTTTGTTTATCCATTCACCTATTGATGGACATGTGGGTTGCTTCCACTTTTTTGCTTTTCTATGCACATTAATTCATATACAAGTTTTTGTGTGGACATTTATTTCTCTTGGGAATATACTTAGGAGTGAAATTTCTAGGTCATGTAGTAACTCTATGTTTAAGATTCTGAGGAAATGTCAGAGTTTCCCTTAAGTTCTGCACCGTTTCACATTCCAACAAGCAATGTAGGAAGAACCCTCCTACAATTTCTTCATTTCCTTGCCAACTCTTATTATCACCTATCACTTATTATAACCACCTTAGCCCTCTCCCTTCCTTTTTATTTCTGCGTAATGGTTTCTGTTCTCTATAAATATGCTTAGATAACCCTTATGCTAAATAAGCATTTCCTGGACCCTGCCACTCCTCCCAAACTGTTGACCATGTTTCTGTAATAGTTCCTCCCTTGGCTTCTGTGACACTACTTCTTATTCTCCTCCTTCCCTGGTTCATCTTTCTCCCTTCCTACATAGTATAAACATTAATTAGTACTCTGTCTTCTGCCACTCTCTCTCCCTTAGCAATCTCATCCATTCTCATGACTGCAACTATGGTCAACTTGACACACTAATTAAAATAATCTCTTTTGCTTATATGCTGCTTTACAGTTTACATATATTTTTATATGTTGTATTGCTTAGTATTCATTAGAATACTGCAGGTGAGAGAGTAGGCATCTACTAACATAACTCTCAATTTACAGATGTGAAATCTGAAGGTCAGAGGGTTTTCTAACTCAAGGTTATAGAACTAGAAAGTGTCAGAACTAGCATTAGGACTAGGATCATCTGAATCCAAGTCACTAAGTGACCACTTCCTTCATGAAGCCTTTCCTGATCACCCCATGTGGGTATAGCCTTTTCATCCCTCAATGTCCATGTACCTGTCTCATGGCGTGCATCATTCTGTTATGAGTTGATTTTGTGCATCCCTTATTAAAATGTGGGTTCCTTGAAGGCAAGAACCACATCTGATTTCTCTTTGAACCTCAAGAGCTTCTAGGCTGAGTGCTACACTTATAGAAGGTAGCCAATAATGTTTGTGGAATTGAATTGATCTTTACCTGCCAACTTGTTCCTGGAATTTATCTAATAGGATCAGCTTAATCTCCTTCCCATTAGAATGGCTGACCTCATGGCACCAGGTTTTTCCTGTATGCTCTAGCATTTCCCAAACCCAAGGAAGACCGAGGTCAGGTCATCAGTTAACTAGGTAATTCACTCCAAACTCTTCCTACTTTAAGTAGAGGCTGCTAAGGCCAAAAGCAATGCATTTGAATTGTCCCAGTTCTCTATCTTGTTTGGTAATATAGACCAGAACTGAGTCTCTTTGCCACACTATTTGAATTGGTGCTTCTAAGGGCAGCAAATGTCTACTCATCAGTTTTGAGATCATGGCCCTTATTTGGCTGAAACCTCAGGTGGGATTTCTGCAGTTTTAAGCAAGAATCTCAGAATGGTGCAGACAGTTTCTGCCCCAGGGATCTTTTCCCAAGAGTGTTCAACACACTGTAATACCTTTCCTAAACCCTAACAACTAACCAGAAGAGAATGCACTTACTTGGGGTGGGTGGTAGCTATTGTAGAAAATTCATCCCACATAGGTCTCCCAAAGAAGGTTTTGTGTTTCAGACCTATCAGGATGTTGGGGGTTTTGTCAAAGTTTAATTGCTGCATAACCATCCTGGAATCAGAGAAATAGTTAGAAAAAACAGGTCCTGATAGCTGTCTCTTCCTTCAGCCACCTTTAAACTTGGGTGTGAGTGTGAGAGTAGGTAGGAAATCACAAGAAATAATTATTTTCAATCAGCATGCACTGTCTTTTGTCTAGCATTCAGTTTGCATTCAACATGTTTGTTTGAACTCACAATATTGCTGTGCCACCCTGTGAGGAAGAGATGGTAGTTTAGAAAACAAACTTTGCCTAATTCCTCCATTTCCTGTTTCAGAGAAGCCAATAGGTCATTGAAACAGGCAAAGGCACCCCTCCCTGCAGAACCAGTAGAAATACTTCTGGTATCAATAAGAGAGAACATAGCCTTATTAAGTGCCTTTTACAATGCGCATTGAGGTGACATGATTAGGTAGATATATTTTATATTTCTTGATCAAGTTTAGGATGACATAAAAAATCACCTCTACAGAACAGCAAACCTTAGGCAGCACAAAAGTCCAGAGTCCTGACAACTTCCCTTGTGGAAAGAGATCACCGGTGTCATCTTTGTTTCAAGGTAATTTTAAACTCCAAATTGAAAATGAAGACCCTGTTCTTATGGTCAATCTGTAGAAGTGTATGCCTGGCACAGAGAAGTGATCACTTGCTCTCATAACTCCAGGGAGGGGTTATTCTTTCATCAACTGTAAAGAGCTTAGACCATGAAAGCAGTGTATCTGTCAGGCCCAGGCCAGATTAAAAGTGGTATGAGGGAGTGTACCATTTGTGTTTTGTGGTTGTGATCTGCATGCTGGAATTTGTACCAGATGAACTTCAAAATGGAAGCAAAGGGGGTGATCTTAACTCCTGCTCTGACCAACATAGCCACTTCATACTGAAAAACATCCTCACTGAGAGTGCCAAAGGGACCATCCACCTCAATCCTGGCAGAAAACAGAAGACAATGGGCAACTGAAGTCTCATCTACATCCCCAACTTCAAACATCCTCCCAGAGACATTGCAGTTCCCATGGCTGATTTCAGTCTGTTTATTTTTCTTATATTCTATTGTACCACATTTAAAGTTCAATGAGAAATTGCATTCCCACTTTTGGCTGTCTGCATCCTGATCTGGACTTCTGAAGCTCTCCAGGACCTATCTGGGATTTCGTGAATACTTTTATTCAAAAATCTTTATGAGATTTTCTGTCCTTCCTCTTACTGCATGGGTATGAATGGAGAAGAAGTCTTCCTCAGGATGAGAGGTCAGAGTAAAGAGATGCCACTCCAGATAAGAGACTGAAAGACAATTAACAAGAATATCCTGTCCCACTTCCATGCTGAAGCCATGCTTACTCATCTGCAATTGCAAAACTTTGGATGGGTGTATGACAACCTATGAATGAAGCACAGAGACCAAAGGTGGCAATTTCAAATGACAACAGGGGCTGGTAACAGTGGTGAACTGTTAACACAAGTTCTTTCATTTTTCAGCCTGGCTATTTTTAACTAAGAAAATTTATTTTATTATTGAATTTATTTGGGATGCATTTGTTAATAAAATTATATTATATCAGGTTTAAGGTGTACAATTTTATAATATATCATCTGTATATTGTATTATGTGTTCACTACCCCAAGTCATGTCATTTTCCATCACCCTTTATCTTCCATTTACCCTCTCCTGCCTCCCCCCTACACTCATTTCTCTCTGATAATGACCACACTGTTGCCTATGAGGGTTTGTTTTCTGCTTAATCCCTTTATTAAGACATTATATTGAGTTACTTCTCATCTGCTTTTGTCTTTTATACATCAACTGGAGTAGCAGTTACTTGGTTCAGACAATGGTTTATGTTACGAGAGACACTCCTAGAAACTTGGTTCTTTTCACCAATGCAGTAAAGAATTACAGATGAGAGAGCCTACTAGCATGCAGGAAAAGTTTATTAGTGCTAAGTTCTAATGGGAAAGCAAAAGCAAGGGTGGCTACAACAGGGGTGGCAAAAGCAGAGTGACCAGCACCCGGGTGGCCAGGGGCCCCGTGTGTGGCAAAAAGGGCCAAGAGGCCAAGAGAGTGAGTCCTTTGTTCTGAGGACTTATGTTGTTGGCAGGATGGGGGAAAGGGAGTTAAATTTTGATTGCCAGATAAAGGTGGTGCCAGTTTTCCTGGGGAGACATGACTACCCAAACATAGGTGTGGGTAGCGGGTCTGTTAGCTTAAATTTTTATCTTACTCTAGACTCTATTTGTTCATTTTGCATCCATGATGGGATGCAGTTAACCAAAGTTGTTTTATGGGCTTTTTTTCTCTGGGCACTGTAGACCCCTCCCCTTTTCCCTTCCAGGCCTTGGAATGAACACACATTCTCAAAGATTTCTTTTTTCCAGCTAGTAGAGATGATACACAGACTTTCAAGGGCTTCCCCGACTCTGCACTATCATAGTTTACTTGTGTTGTTCAGAATGCCTGGCAGCTTTATTTGATCAGGCTCAGAATTACTGGGGCAATAGGTGAGACATGTCTTCCTTTGCTTTTAGCCTCCTGCATTAAGTTCTTTGTTAGAGTGCAATGGTGAGGGCCTTGCCTTTATTTTTCCTCTGGTCACTAATTCTTCTGTAACAGTTGCACTATGTAACTGTGACTTAGCATTATGAGGTTTCCTGATTCTTCAAGAGAAGCCAGAAATGCCATTTTTAATACAAAAGCCTCCATCCAGATTTTTAAGTGTTAGCAACTAATTCAACTTTCTAAACAATGATTGTGTGAGACAAACAAAATATTTCTGTGGGCTATATCTGGCACAGGCCACCCGTTTGCAGCTTCTGACATAGACCCATGCTGACAATTTCTTCCAAATCCCTCCTCCCATAGTTCTATCCGGCACTGGAGGAAATGAAGTATATTACCCTCAGGATCTTTTTTTATTCCCTTCAGGGTGAAACCATGGCAATTTATTTCTATAATCAGGAAGAACAGAACTCTTATCAGGGCAAGTTAAAAAGGCATATGGTTTACCTTGGTAATTATAAACAGTAGCAGTAAAATTGGAAGATCCTTTCAAACATATAAAGAACACCCAGTGCAAGGATCCACTGCCAATACTGTGTAGAGTAAAGGATGAGGTTATATATTAGTCTCTTTTTAGGATTTATTTGTATAGCAGTTCATTCCTTCATTTAGTAAATATTTGAGTTCTCTGCTGTGTATCATTATCAATCCATTAATTTCAACAAATCTTGAGGACAGAAATGGAAAGGAATAAACTACAATGGTTTTGTTTGCTAATCTGTTACTCATAAAGTAGATCGCTTCCTGAAATTTTGTATGTCTCACTAGGAAGCAAAAGAAAAGTACTGAAATAAAATGCATAGAAATAAATATATATATGTGGACCATGGGCAACATAGTAGCAGAATAGAAAGATTTGCCTGGCACCACGTCCTTGAACTAAACTGAAAATAAGAATAAAGAGAGAAACTTCCACCTGAAATAAACAACTGAAGACTGCCTGAAGAGACACTTAACCAAAAACAGGCAGAAACCACCTCGAGACCAGCAGAAAGGGCAGGGACACGAAAGGGGCCAGCACCGCATTCATGGCAGTGGGTCAAAGTTGTGGTGCGGCTGTGTAAGATTCTCCCTAAGAGGAATGAAGCCTGAACACCAGACCAGGCTACAAAGCATAAAAAAACTAGTGTCAGGATCACTTTCCCACACAGCATCCAGCAGTGAAAAGCCACTGGGCTTTTGCCCACAAGAGAGCCCACTGGAAAGAAAGCCACCTTTTTTTCCTTCCTTTTTCTCTAAGGGGCAAATGCACAGGTTGTGCATACACAGCAATTCATCTCAGGTGAAGGGAGGACAGCACTGTTGGGAGTTGCGGGAAGAGAGTCTGCACTGGGAGGCTTGGGGAAAGGTACAGGCAGGGGCAGGGAGGAATAGCTGCTGGGTTCCCAGTGCGAGGACATACTTCCAGACCACAACAGCCATTTTTCTAGAGAAGAGCAAGACCTTCCCAGGGTAAAAACAATTACTCCACCAGTTGGAAAACTCCTTGCCCTGCCCTCTGGAATCCCACTTGCCACACAATCCAGAATCCTGCCTGCCCCACCCTGCATCTATTTTTTTAAATTTCTTTTTAGTTCTACTTTTTTCTTTCTTACTATCCCTGAACCTGCATCTTATCCTCTGCCAAGGAGACAGCAACATAGGCAAGCTCAGGGGTGTGAGACATTGGCTTTAGGGCATAGCCATTCCTTACACTTTTCCAAGAACCAGACTGGTGCTTCCCATTCATGAGAGAGCCAGGGAATGCCTCCTGGTTTCCAGCAGACCCAACTCTGGACTCTGGAGGCCTCACCCACTTTTCTACTAGGGAATTCACCTTGCCAAGTTCTTGGCAATAATCCAGGAAAGACTCAGATATGTGGTGGAGGAATGAGTGAATACACCCACAACATTCCCTAAAGTCTGAACAGCACCTACCATGGGAGATCCAGGGGTCCCATCCTTCTGATTCTACCAGAAGCCCTCTTAGAAACAGACAGGTCAGTGGCTATGCTAAGGCTAATGGCAGGACAGCTGGAAGAGGCAGGTGGAGGAGGTTCATGCAGTGTTTTGGTTGTTAGTTGACCCATCCCTGGCCCTGTGCTGATAAAAAGCCAGCCTTACAGAGCAGCAAGGCCCATCCTGGGTGCAGTCAACCACAAAGAAGACAGCCAAAAACTGTGGATCACTTGTAGCTTCTAACAGGCTGCCTAGAGCTAGACATGGGCAGCATCTGACATTGGCTTACACCAGATTCAGACAATATCAGAGTTGTATCCAGAGAGAGAACCCAACAACATACAAGATGTGGTAGGAGTTGAGCCTTTCAGTCAGCCAGCTGAAAGGAGACCCATCAATGAATGGGCCAACAACAATCAAGACCCAAATACAACAGGAGAGCCCACTTAAACCACATAAGGGGCATTCCTAGATCATCCAGCTCAAGAGATCAAGGAGACTGTACCAGTCAGGCCTACAGGATGCCTACCACAGAAGGCCACTCCACAAGACAGGGAGTCAATACAGATATAATATGTAGAAACAAACAAAAAGAGTCAGCTAAAAGGGGGAGACAGACAACCCCCAATCAAAAGGAAATGAGGAACCCCCCCCAAAAAAGCTAAATGAAATCGAAGCAAGCAATTTATCAGGTAGGGTTCAAAGTAATGGTTATTAGGATGTTCAAGGAATTTAATAAGAACTATAAGGAACTATATTAGAGCTACAAGGAACTTAGTGGAAACTGCACCAGCCTGGAAAAGGACACAGAAACTATGAATAAGAACCAGGTAGAAATGAAGAATGCAATATCTGGAATGAAGAACACAATAGAAGGAATTAAAAACAGGCTAGGTGAAGCAGAGGATCAAATCAGTTATTTGGAAGCAAGGTAGGAAAAAAAAACACCTAATCAGAAAAACAAAAAGAAAAAAAAGACTTAAAAAGAATGAGGATGGTTTAAGGGAACTTTGGGAAAACATGAAACATAACAATATCTGCATCATAGGGATACCAGAAAAAGAAAGTGAGCAAGTGATAGATAACCTGTCTGAAGACATAATGACAGAAAAATTCCTTAACATGGTACAGGAAGAAGTCACAAAAGTTCAGGAAGCACAGAGAATCTCAATCAAGAGGAACACAAAGAGACCCACATCAAGACACATCATAATTGAAATGGTGCAGTTTAAGTACAAAGAGAAAAATTTTAAAGGCAGCATGAGAAATACACAGTCATTCACCCACAAGGGAGCTCTGATAAGACTGTCAGCTGATTTCTCAGCAGAAACACTTCAGGCCAGAAGAGACTGGCATGAAGTATTCAAAGTAATGAAAAGCAAGGATCTGCAACCGTAACACCTCTATCCAGCAAGGCTATCATTGAAAATTGAAAATGATATAAAGAACTTCCCAGACCAAAAAAAGGCCAAAGGAGTTCATTAACACCAAACCAGAATTGCAAGAAATGTTAAAGGGTCTCCTTTAAGAAGAAGAAGTAATGAGAGAGAGAGAGAGAGAGAGGGAGGAGGGGGGAACATAGGTATAAAGTAATAAAATTGCAAAGAAGGAGTACCTATCAATAATAACGTTAAATGTAAATGGATAAATGCTCCAATCAAAAGACATAGGATAGCTAAATGGATAAAAAAAAAAACATGACCCATATATATGCTGTCTATAAGAGACCCACCTCAGAAGAAAAGATTTACACAGGTTGAAAGTGAACGGATGAAAAAAAAATATTCCATGCAAATGGAGACAATAAAGAAGCTGGGGTAGCAATACTTCTATCTGACAACTTGGCTTCAAAAAAAGGACATAAAAAGAGACAAAGAAGTTCACTACATAGTGCTAAAGGAATCAATACAACAAAAGGATATAACTTTTATAAACATATATGTGCCCAATATAAGAGCACCTAAAGAAAGGAAATCTTGGTGGACTTTAAGGAAGAGATCAACAATAGGGTCATTGTAGGATATTTTAACACCCCACTGTCACAACTGGATAGATCTTCCAGACAAAAAAAATCAATAAACAGTGACCTTAAATGACATTCTAGATCAAATGGATTAAATTGATATTTACAGAACATTTCATCTCAAAGCATGAGAATACACATTCTTTTCAAGTGCACGTGGATCATTCTCAAAAATAAATCACATGGTAGGACACAAAATAAGTCTTAACAAATTCAAGAAAGTTGAAATCATGGCAAGCATTTTCTCCGATCACAACAGCATGAAACTAGAAATCAACTTCAATAAAAAAAAATTAAAATCACTCAAATACATGGGGGCTAAGTAGCATGTCATTAAATAATGAGTCATCAATGAAATCAAGGAAGAATAAAAAAGTACTTGGAAACAAGTGAAGATGAACACACAACAACTGAAAACTTATGAGACACAGAAAAAGCAGCCCTGAGGGAAGTTCATAGAATTATAGGCTTACACCAAGAAGATAGAAAAATCTCAAATAAACAATCTAATCCTACACCTAATGAACTAGAAAAAACAACAAAGCCCAAAGGGAGTAGAAGGAAGGAAATAATCAAGATCAGAGCAGAAATAAATGACATAGAGATCAAACAAACAATTCAAAAGATCAACGAATCCAAAAGCTGATTCTTTGAAAAAAAATTTAAAAAATTGATGAGACTTTAACAGTCTTATCAAGAAAAAGAAGAGAGAAGACCCAAATTAATAAAATCAGAAATGAAAGAGGAGAAATAAAACTGATGCCAAAGAAACACAGAGGATTGTTAAAAAAAAAAAAAAGTACTATGAACAACTATAAGCCAAGAAATTGGACAATGTGAGCAAAATGGATAAATTTCTAAAATTAAACAATCTCCCAATACTGAATCAGGAAGAAGAACACCTGAATAGACATAATAATTAACAAAATTGAAGCAGTAATCAAAAGACTCCCAGCACACAAAATCCCTGGAACACATGGTTTCATAGTTGAATTTTACCAATCATTCAAAGAACTAACATCTATCCTTCTCAAAGTATTCCAAAAAATTTGAAAAGGTGGAAGGCTTCCAAGCTCTTTTTTCAGGGCCAATATTTTCCTAATTCCAAAAACAGGTAAAGACACAACGACAACAAAAAGAAAACTATAGGCCAATAGCCCTGATGAACATTGATGCTAAAATCCTCAACAAAATATTAGCAAACTAGATCCAGCACTCCATTAAAAAGATCATACACCATGATCAAGTAGGACTTATCCCAGGGATGCTAGGTTGGTACAATATTCACAAATCAATAAATGTGAGGAACTGTCAGTCAAGATAGTGTCATAGGAAGACATGGCTTGCCTCTTCTCACAACCATTTCAAAATTACAACTGAAACATAGAACAATCATAATTCAGAAACATCAGGAATTAAGCTGAATGGAAGTCTGACAACTACGGGATTAAAGAAACCACATCCATTCAGACTGTTAGGATGGGCACAGACAAGAAATGGGCTGGTCCCATATCTATGTGGATAAAAATTTGGAAGGCATATCTTGGAAGTGAGGAGTCCCAGACCCACATC